CGATGGGCATATACCGAACGGTGCAGGCACCCTCCCGCAACTGCTGCATTGCCTTCTCATCCCACTTCCAGGAAACAAACACTGATCCCACACAACCAACTGCGACGGCTTGCGTTAGAACGCTGACATCCTCAGCCCTCACAGGATCTCTAATCATGATACCCTTGCATCCGGCGGTCACCAATGCCTTTACTTTGCTTGGACTGTGCTCTCCCGGCATCACACGGGCCAAAGCTTGGCTGACCCCCTTGATCGTGTGAAGCTCGAACGGGCCCGAGCACGGATGCTCCTTGGCCTCAGAGATTCCCGCCATCACTTTCTTGGCAGAGGGGCGTGTAGGGGCTACACGATTGCGCAACTCGCTCACACTAACCACCTCAACGTCTCCGTTGTCGTACACCACCTGAAACACGTGGGACCTTCCCCTGCGGCCAGCATACGATGCTACACCCAGCGACCGGGAGGTGCGATGCCCTCTTCCCTTAGACTCTCTCATAACAGCCACGCCTTGGAGGTCGCGCAGGTACTTGGGTGGCTCGGGAGCTGCACCCCGCGCAGGTTCGGACGTCTTCCCTTCCAAGGCTTCAGCACTAACTCCTTTCTGTTGAGGAAACGGTCCTCTCCCAACTCGTGTGGTTGTCGACCAGGGGATTTGACCCCGGGTCTGCACCTGACTAATGGGGAAATCTTACCCCAGAACCTTATGGGGCTACCGATGCATATCCGGTAGCTAAGTGATAGACATTAGGGCACCGTCTGGACGGCGCAGTGAGATCGCGGAATGTACGTGCAGTTAGATCGCGGAATGTACGAGTTTTCCGCTAGCGCCGGTATTTAGGGCGGTGACTGCGCCTATTAGTTTATCTCACAACGATCGGTATTCCTACCAGGAATCTCCTCAAGTCCTGCCGAACGCTAACAATACTCTTTACATTACTTGTAACAGTTTATCGTGCTAAATATCTTCGCCACCGGCAATCCTTCCGGAATAACAATTAGCGTTAGCTGTCACCGTCGCCAATTCTTCAATAGGTTATGAGCCCCGATTAGCGCCGACAGTTATCGCCCAATTGTTATTTCTATCCCTCATCAACAATGGTTAAGGACAAGCTTGATGAGTCGCTGGATCTCAACAACTACTCTACCTGGCAAATTCGATTTAGCGCGATGTGCATGGAGCTTGGGCTTGAGCAATCCCTGCTCGCCGAGCCGTGCAACG